TTTTTTTTTTTCATATTTGTTCACATTGAATTCAGTTTTTTCTTTCAAGTGCTTTTTAGAACCTCTTTTTAGCTTCTTTAATCTTCTAGTTTCAACGTAAATTTGTTTCAAAAACTACTTTCTATTTCTTTCTAAATTTTTTTTTTGTATCTGTTAAAATGTATTTGATTGTTCAGTATTAAGGTTGAATTGTTCAAAGTGTAAGCTTAATGTACAAAATAATAGGATTGGTGAGAAGTGTTGTAAAAAAAAGCAACTTCAAAAAGATACCACAAATTTTTTGGTCAATCATTTGGTGGCATTGATACTAATTTATGGGTGTCAATTCATTCATTCATTCATTCATTCATTTATTCATTCATTTAGTCACTCGTTTATTTGTTTATTTATTTGTTCATTTTTTTTTATCTTCTTATTTACTTATTCATTTGTTCTTTGTGTAAAAAAAAAAAAAAAGACGGAACTTTAGAAGTATTGTGCTGGTTGTATGAACCCTGAAAATGTCAAGTGAATAGAACGTTTTACTGCGGTCAGAGGGCTATAATTGTGGCGGAATTCTTTAGGTGTTAATTGAAAAAACAGGCATGAGTAATTGTTGTAAAAAAACAATTTTGAAACAAAACAATTTTATTGTTTAATTGTAGAATTCTATAAATTGATTAGCTGTTACAAGGCTGAAAACAGCAAATTACAATAAGAAACAACACCTGAATTCTTTGCTGCTGATTCTTACTTATCTAGATAAATAAGAACGAGATTAATTAACTGAATTGGAAGCTGTAGAAGAAGTGCAATAAACAAGTGAAAAAATTACATAAATTCTATTAAAACTAAAATAAATTTTTGGTAGAAAAGAAAATTACTGTTTTTACTGAACAAATTTACCCGCAGACCTAAACAGACCTAAAATCAGAAGCATTTATAGCAGCAGCCAACATACAACTTTTCTGCATATAACACTTATAAACCTTTAGGGTGGGGGGGGAAGGATTGATTGAGACAGTTCCAAAAGTTGGCCAATACAAACAGTTGAATGAACAAAGAAAAGAATCAAAATATTCAAAGATATTTGCTTTTTTTTTTCTTCTTCTTCTTCTTCTTCATCTCCTTGTTTTTGGCTAAACTAATCAATTAAATTTGTTTCTAATTGTCAATGACAA